GAGCTCTTGTGATTTTGGCAATTGTGTTGTCATTGGATGGGGGTTACTCCTATTCTATTCTTTAAGGCTAAAGAGGTGCTGTCTGGCATGCACTCTGACAGATGAGTAGGTGCTTGAGAGGCCAAAATGCATGGCTTGAAGAGACATTTCAAACAACAGAGCACTCTGTGCAGAGACCCAGGAATGTGAAGGCTAGTGAGGTGAGGGAGGAGTTGGCCATGGCTTGAGCTAGGTTACAGATGATGGGCCATGAACAAACCAAGGTGACAAGAGCCAGATCGCAACAGGCATTGTAGAAGATTCTAAATTTTCATTATTAATAATGAAGTGTGTATTAGTTACTTTTCTCCTTGCTGTAGCCAGAGTACCTGACAGGAAGCAGCTTAAGGAAAGATGCAGAAGGCAGATCTCTGTGAGCTCCAGGCCAACCTGGTCTACAGAGCAAGTTCCAGGACATCCAGAGCTGTTACACAGAAAAACCCTGTTTTGAACACCCCCGCCCCCCCAAAAAAAGAAGGAAAGATGCAGATAATGGAAAGAAAGTAGAAAGCATGGTGGTAGTAGCCGGAAGTGCTGGTTGGTCTGTGTACCAATCAGAATGCCTCAAGGGATGAACATTCTCCACTTGCTTTCCCTGTTTTATTCAGATAAGGACCCCAGCTTACAGGATGGTGCCCCAAATTTAGGATGGGTCTTCACACCCCAGTTAAACCAATCTAGAAACACCCTCACAGACCTGCAGAGATTTGTCTTGTAGGTGATGCTAGATCCTGTCAAGTTGGCCACTGAAATTAGCCATCACGGAATTGGATTGGTGTTTTTGTGTGTTCTGTTCTTCATTAATTTTAATGGGTTTTCAATGGGTCTCTAAACAAAAATGTTTTTTAAGTAAGATTATTGGACTTTGAACCAAGTCCATGCCTTCTGACATTATATTATGGCTGTTCTTGGTGACATGGCCAGCCTGGTCCTCTCTTCTGCTTACTGCCTCAGACATGTTGTACTGTATCCAACACTTGTTTGTTCTAAGCTTTTTCATCACTTGTTTTGTTTTTCTTGCCTTGGGATTTCCACGGTGAATTGAACTTAGAATATCTTTGGATTCAGCAGCATCAAACTAATGCCAGTCATTGTGTATTCTGTGTTTCGGTGCCAGAGTTACTTGCTTCCCGCCAGATGTGTTCTATGTTTCTGTGCCAGCATTACTTGCTTCCCACCAGATGTGTTCAGCAGCCTTAAGATATTCAAGCAGGTTTCTGGAGAGATGACAAGCATCAGTTGTTTTCAACATTATTTCCTGCCTTACAAAGCCGCTGAAGTTCAGGAAGAGAGTGAAGAGGCAGTGCCCTCTCTCCCTGCTCTGATTGTGCATCCACAGCCAGCAAGTGTGCGCACAGGGCTCACTGCCTTTGTTCTCAGCTCCCTGGCTCTCCCTTCTGCCAGCTTCTTTCATGCTGTTCCCACTACCTCACTCCCAGTGCCTTTCCCATCACGTGTGTTAGCAGTTCCGCTATTGTTCTTCCTGTCTAGTTCTCTTAAATCCAACCCACACCTTTTCAGCTCCGTATCCTGTGTCAAGTGTTTGAAAGCTGTTATTTCATGTTAATTAGAAGTTCTTTTCCCAGCCAGGAAACCTTCACAGAACTGCTCCCTCAAGCCAAGGCTTCAAGATGCACTCTGGCGTTTGTACTTGGGGACAGTGGAAGGAATCATGGCTAATTGCTGCTTAACCAGGAAACATTCTCTCTCACCCACTCCTGGACCATTCTTTGTGCCTGGCCAAGCCATAAGACCTTGGCTTGTTCTCACCCAAGAACCTAGCCAGCTATAGAGTCTGAGAGGCCTGTAGGCTTCACAATCCTAGGAGAACTCCTAGCTACAGTTGCTTGGCAGTCACCCTCACTTAGAAGATCCCATGGCCTCCAAGCCGTCTCCCCCAAAGGTAGACAGGAGACCAGAAGCTGCTTCTTCCCCCATAACATGTTGCCTTTGGGTAGAAAATTTTCCTAGCACGTTCTCAGCTGGTGTAGGCTTCAGCAGGAATTAGCTTTTAAGTCTTAAAAAAAACAAAACAAAAACAAAACAAAACAAAAACTCTTGAGCCCCCTGAATAGCTGCCAGTCTCTGCAGGTAGCCCTAGTAGGCTTCAGGGGAATTTCCATCTCTTCAGATGTCATGGGTCAGAGCGAAGCCCTATGCTTGCATCTGGCCTTCCTCTTTGTGCCCACTGCTTACAGGTCAGGGACCACAGCCTTCTTATCACCTGGCTCATTGCTACCTCAGCTCAGGCTCTGCACTGCCAACCAAGGCATGAGAAGGAAGTTGCAGACCTAACACTTCCCTAAGAGCCACCAGCAAGCACCCTCAGGCTTCCTGTGCTCTGTTAGGAGAGCATGGCAGAGCCCAGTTTGGCTGGTGCTGGGGCACACCGTTCCTGTTCCATCTTTCACTAGCAGGGACTACGCTGCTCTAGGTACCATAAAGGTGGATCTTACATCACAAGTGGCTGAAGAACTCTCTCTCCTATGTTTCATCTATACCACTTGAAATGAATGTCTTCATCTCCCATGGGTTACAGAGAAAACCATTGGTGAGCAGATGTGACGAAAGGTCTAATGGACAGAGAGCAGTCACAGTCACGGGCACTGTGGAGGGGAGCTCAGAGGTGTGAGAGTGAGAGATCATTGCACCCACAAAGAAAATCACCTCCAAAAAGCAACTGGCCAGAGGGCACAGGCTTCGGTGTCCCCGTTTGTTAGAGAGAAATCAATACTTCCTACCCAAAAAGGTGATCGCAGAGAGGACACTACCTGTGTCGGTCAGTTCTGCATGCAGGCCTGGCACACAGCAGGCCTTTAGCAATCTGTCCCCTCTCCTTTCTGTATCTGCAAACTGCAGCTGATAGAGTATGTGCTAAGTAGAGAAGATAAAGTAAGGAAGTGGTCACGGAAAGACTTGACAGTGTCACTTTAGCTGAACTGTAGAAAAATCAAGGAGCAGATAAATGCCAGAGGTTAGGATCCGGTGTACACAGCTTCGGAAGAAGCAGCAGCTGGTCAGCTCCATAGAAGTAAAGGGCCCATGGCATGTGTCTGGACACAGGTGAGAGTTTCGAAGGACTGGGGGGGGGGGGGGGGCTCCCTTCTGGG